GGATCATCAAGTGGGAATCTTAGCTGAAAAGCTTTCTGCTTGTCTCTAGCAAGGGGTATTTTCAAGCCCTTCTTTATATGTTGGAGCATCCAGAATAATTCATGGTCTCTAATGAGAGATAATTGATATATGTATGAAGGAACCTTCACTCTTGAATTTCTTAGCTTTTTGTAGACATAATTCCTCAGCCTTGTGGCAGTAGCTTATTTAGCTTTTAGTGCTAATAGGGCATATGTTCTGATTGGCCTCTTCCCTGCTTCAGTGCAATTTGCCAACTCAAGGTTTGTCTACACAGTGAGTTACTGTGTCGCAAGCCAGGTGGTGAATCTACAGCACACCGTGCACTAACTCCCCATGTGTGCACTGCTGCAGCACATTGAAAGGCCCAGAGCGTGGCTTCGTGTACTAGGGTAGTTCTCTTGCTGCCATATAGACACGCCCTCAGTAACTCCTCATCACACAATATAAAATGCTGCTTTGCTGAAAATGAAGGATTTCCCCAGAATGCAGGAAGGGTGCAATATGGGCCTCTGAGCTGCTTCAAATCAGAAGAAAAGTGAACTGGAACTAGCAGTGACCTGAATGACTTTTCATTGTACTAAAGTGTGTCAGTGAAACAAGCTCATCTTCTCGAACGACTTGCTAGAAAAGGTGGAGCATGTAAAGTGTTCAACTGCCCGAGAAGTCACTGTTCAAACAATTGGAAGGATGGATCAACTGGCCCTTTCTTTTTCCCCCCATAGCCTTCTCCTGCCACCCTAACAAAATGTCTGGCTGAGTACAAAACTGATGTAGTATTTTTTTAACCTGTAAATAGGTAGCTGCCATTTAACCTTCTTTCTTGTCTTGCTCCCATTCCTAATATTAATCCCATTGAAGGGAACAGCATACAATTACCCATGTGAAAGGCTTTGTTGGAGAGTTACAGCTGCATTGTTAATGCTCGTAAATCTTTTCTTTCTCTTGCAGCCCATCATGTTCAGGGGAGAGGTGCGTTTGAACGTGGAGGAGAAGAAAACACGAGCTGCCAGGGAGGGTGACCGCAGAGACAACAGACCACGTGGACCTGGAGGCACTCGGGGAGGGCTGGGAGGTGGGATTCGAGGGCCTCCACGTGGAGGAATGTCTCAGAAACCAGGATTTGGAGCTGGAAGGGGCATCGGGCAACGCCAGTGAATGCATCAAGGATGTTGGCATGGTGGCACAAACCCTTGTTCCTGCAGATTTGTGAATTTCAGCCTTGGGTATCTTGGAATGTGGCCCTGGCCTGTTATAGACTGCTACGTTTGATACTGTTTTGGCCCCTTTTTGTTTGTTATGGTTTTGTGTTTTGGTTTTTTTTTTCCCCCCCCTAGTCCTTGTCCCAGATTCCAGCTTTGTGGAACAATATTTTAGGAAAAGTGGATTTTAAAAAGAAAAGAACGGAAGTTCCTTGCTCACTGCAAACTTACGGACTGGTATTTTTTTTTTTGTGTATACCAGTGGGTCTTTCCTAAAGGAATGTGGTGTGTTTTTTTTGTTTTTGTTTTTGTTTTTGTTTTTTGCGCTCTATATTGAAATTGGGTGCGTTTCAGTCAGTGGAATAATCTTTCACCTGCATGTGTTCAAGAGCCTGTAGGAAAACCTAGCACTTGGCAAGCATTTCAAGGCAGGAGAAACTATTGTTTGTCCCTTGAGGGTCATGTGCACATCCTCTGGTCTGGCCATGTTGCCACTTGAAAAATTGACATTCATTCTTCTTTCTGTGGCGCTGTAAAAGTGGAATAAAGGGTATCCATAGAATCTTTTTTCTTTTGATACATGATCACGAAAAGGAATTCTAACTACTGTTTTACCACTTACAAATTTTGGATTGTGAGATAGGTTTTAAATGTCTAGAACTTGACTCTTAAAACATTTTTCCTGAACTTGTGAAATTTTTTATTGAAATAGGGAGGTTTTTTTCATGTTTTAGTTTGTATTTGTATAAAAAAAAAACAAAATTGTTGTGCCTTCTATTTATCTCTCATTCCAGTCTTGGCAAATTGTTAAAAAATAAAAAAAGTCTAGATTTGCTTTATCAAGTGGAGTATGTTGGAATTCTTGTGAAGGGGGAGTTTCCCCTCCATTCCTCCCGTCACTACCTTTGTCTAGGATAATGACAAAAGGTGGTTTGGAAACTGAACCAATCTCTGCTGTGGTAGTAGGTAGAGATGTCTAATATTATAAAGCACGGTGGTGGTTGGCTGAATGTTTGTTTGCTTTTTCCAGCTGACTGAAAAGTTACGCCATTTTGTAACAACTCCTGTTGTGACTAGGAAACTGTGGTTGTAGATATCTTTTATTGTTGAAATGTAAATGTGCTTTTTAGGATCCTGTATACTTACTCTGTTCTTTATTGGGGGGAAGGGGAGTCGCTTTTGCAGTTTGGGCATCCGTTTAGCAACTCCCCTCTGGCAGAGGTGAAACTACCTAGATCAGATGTAGCCTCTGACAATTAGGCAATCAGTACACCTCTAGCATATCAATTGCTGGTATATACTCCTGGTATTGAATAAATATCTTATTCATTCTCAGATTCCACTAAAATTGAAAATAAAAGACAAGACTGTGTGTACAATCTTTATTACACCAGTCTTAAAGGATTCCGGTGCACAGCTCGCTATTTTGGTAATAGGTATGGTGTTTAACTTCCATTGTATGGAAAAACATCTGGCAGAAAATGGCAGTCTTGCTTCCAGATTAATATCAGAAGCCATTGGGGTCAGATTAGAGCAGTGGCTCCATGCACCACCACTTTACATTGATACGAAGTGACTGGATGGTATATCCTATGCCCCCTGCAGTATCTGCATCACAGTGGACACCCTGGAGAGCTTATTAGTAATTGTCTTTCATGTGAACCAGGATTCAGTGTCTAAGTTCTGGGTTTTCTAATGCAGGATCTGTGCAGATGTGATGCAATGGCATATCCATATCTCGTGGCCTCTGACACATTCTGCTTTACAAACTAGAACAGAGCTGTCTGTGGCCAGGGGGAGGTCACTATAAACCATACCAGAAAAGTTACATGTGAGAGTTGGTGTAGTTTAAACGGTCCACACCTCATTAAAGTCATTGGAAGCTTTTGTCAGAGACTTCAATGTTTGTTTAAAAACTGGTGTTCAACCCACCTCTCCTCAGACCTTTTACGGACTGACTTGACTTTTTTAACCTGCTCCCAAAAGTATAGAGGCACGTCCTGGCACTTGAGCAGAGCTAACTGTAATGACTATCCTCGCAGTGTGCCACCTTAGTGCACAGACATACAGGAAATACACAGTTCCCTCTTGTGGTAATAACTGGTAGTGTCTGTTCTAAATGGTTTTCCCAACTTCAGCTCAGGAAAACATAGTGTCTACCATTGCCAAGGAGTTAAGTGCAAGTCTTTCTCTGAAGTCTTCCCCGCTGGCGTTGTTTCATTGCTTTTCACAACTACAGCTCCATAATGACGGGTACGTATAATATACTGCAGGGGGGAGGGAGAACGGCCTCTGCATGGGAGAAATCCGACTCTAGCAACAGATACTGCCTTTAGATTATCAAAGCTTCAGTAAATAGCACCTATGCCTTGCACATGCCAGAGCTGTGAACACCTCTCCACTCGTTAAAGGAGTATGTCCTCAAAGGGATTTTGTCATAGTTTTGGGCTCAAAATATAATTTCAGGAGGGCAGTGGAGAAGACTTGCAAGGCCTAAATGGGTTTTGTGTTTGCTGCCTCTGTTTAGACAGCCAGTCTTCTGTGGTGGGAACCACATCATTGTTATAGTGCCGGAAGAAAGACAGGAGGCAAAACTGACCAGATTTTTTTTCATAGTCTAAGGTGAATGAAATGCAAAAATTAAAAAGATGCAAAACCTTAATGTGTTTTGTTATACGAGAAACTACTTTTTAAAAAGTTTACACCAACAGCATCTCAGACTATATGACTTCATGATTAGGGCTACAATTTTGACATGGAGGTCATGATGTTCACAGTAACAATCTGAATGAAGTCTGTGATGACCCCACCTTGCACCCATGGTGGCTTCTGTCCCATGGGTGTGGGCCCGCCTCCTCCCGCTAGGTGTTGCAACCTGGTACACGTTGCAGCATCACCCAGTATTGGCATGTCTGCTCCTCTGTTCATCTGTGGCAGAGTGGCCCTGCCAAATCTGAGTGGCACTGTGGCGGCATATGCCTGTTCCCAATGCCTTTCCGGTAAAGAGGAAGTACTTGTTCCAAGTGAACAGGCCCCTTTGCTTAGTAAGGCAGCAGCAGGCCTTCGTAAGCCTTGCTCTGAAGGGTTCCTGAGGTTCTGGACTTCTACAAAAACGCAGCGGGGTGTTAAACTGAGCCTTCCCCTCTCTAGGTTAGAGGTAACAAGTGCATAGTCACTTTCTCAAGGAGCAGGCTTTCGTGTGGAATTAACACTAGTGCCAAAAGTATAAATGTACCTATTTTGCCTTCTACCTACTGATCTAGCCCGTACGCATTTAGCATTGTACTGTCAAGTCTACATTGTAAGGAATGGAGGGCATGTCCTGAGGCTTCAGTTCTAATCTGTGTATGTAAACGTACCTGAATTAGAGCTTTCTATAAGTATTGGGAGGTGAACAGTAAATTCTATCGGGGGGAGGGGGGGAAGGTTCAGTCAACTCTAAACCCTCTCTTCAGTCAAATGTCTTGGTCTTTGTAATTTCCCCCCCCTCAGCTGAATTAGCATGAACGTAATACATTTTATTAAACTAGCAAGCTACGGTCAGAGCTCAAACTGAAGAGGGATGGAACGGTTGAATGGCTAAAGGGTGTTTCTAGAAATGATTCTGCTGTTACGAACCTTATAGTCCACAATTGTGCTAAGGCCCTCCTATAGCATGCAGGCCCTGTTCAGTGGACAAGCATAGCCAAGAGGCTTAACCACCTCTCGTACGCCAAGATGTTTTTGTTGGTCCCGTGAGTGATAAGATGGATTTCAGTGCATGAACCGCTGTCCCTGATACTCTTACGGATGTTGGCTGTGCAACCTCTGCTTGTAGAAGGTGCAGTGCCTTGAATGAACAGAGTGATTGTCCTGAAGAGCGGCAGCTGGCGCTATAAAATAGCTTGTGTCTGGCGAACATTTGTCTTGGCCCAGAAAAAGTGACTACCTGTGTCTGCACCTTGTAGTGTGAGCCCCAAGAGAGTAAACAGGCAGCAGTCTCTGATGTGCTTCTTGCTGCCAGTGTTCATTTGGGGGGATGCAACTGCAGAGAGAAATAGCTGATCTCTTACCTCCTCCCCTTCATGGAAGAATTTCTCTGCAAGGATGGCTAGTCATGGAGAAGTTCCAGTATCCATGCGTTCATTTCCTCCCCGTGTCTCTCACTGAGCCCGAGATTTTCAAGGTAAAGACATGGTATTTTGTAGCTGCAGATAGCTCTCCCTGCATGCTGCTGCCCATGGCTGAGAATACCAGCAATTTGCCTAATCACTTCCTGCTAAAGCATTTACAGCTTGTGCCTGTCCTTGTTTTTCTTTCCAGCAATACCTTTCTCAGCCTGCCTGGTAACTGAAAAACTACCGTCCCAGGCCTTCTGGGAAACTTTATTTCAATGTTCTCTGGTTAAGGCTGGCTACATAATAATTGGATTTAATAGTGAACTTCTTGACATGCCTAATCAGAAATACGTTTTACTAAATGGCATACTTCAGTGTTTCTTTAATATAAATAGGCTTTAAAACGGGGGGCATGAGGCTGAAAATGGCCTGCATTGGGGAAGTATAAAAAGCTGCCCATGGCCCTCTTTTTCACAGGGATTTCCAGTCTTGGCTTAAGCACTGTACCATGAGCTGCCTGGCTAATGGAAATTCAATACTTAGTTGCCTTATCAAGCATTAAAGGGAAAATATTGTGTCCCTCCTCTCTTGTTTCTCTCCCAGGCTTCGGTTTTGAGGAAATTGCTTGAATAAGGTCTTTTAAAAAAGCCTTGGGCACTGCAGGGATCACTTCATTCAACAATGAAATACAGTGCTGTGTACAAGCAACATAATGCAACAGTTCTCAGAAAGGTAGTTTAAAGAGTTGGTGGCGTATAGTGCCCATGCATAAACATAGTTCCCTAGAACAAGTAGGTAACATACTGCAGGGCCAGGAACCATACTTCAACTCGCATGAGAACTTGGGAAGTAGAGCAGTACAAAGAAATACCATTGTTCCTAGGAAATCACCTCTAACATGCTGTTTTTAGGCTCCAACTTATTCTAAAGGCAAGAAAAAATGTGCCCAACCTGCCATCTGGACACCAGTTGATGCTGGTTGGGGAAAGCAAAGCCATTTTGACACTTAGTACGTGGGTACAGGGCACACTCACCTGTGTTTAACAGAGTAAAAAGTTACTCCTTTTAGTCGGTGACCTAATAACAGACCTGGGCCTATATCCTGCTTGAGTCAGTCTGTCGTGTAAAAGAGATCAGGCTATATTCCTGAACTGCTACTGCCCTGCTAATGTCCAAAGCAGCAAAAAAGGTTTGGGGATCTGGATAGATGAAAAACTATCGGTACTGCAAGGGTAAACCCTAGCATTGTGAGGAACTGCAGTGTAGATGAGGGCTCAGAGGGCAGCAGTAATGAGAAGATTCTTCTCTCTCCCCCCCCACACAGCAAAATTAGAGTACACAATACAATGATCCTACTTAAATGTCCATGAAATACTAAAGGAGAGCAGCACTTCTCAGCCATTAGCACTGGCTTTAAAATGACCTCTCCGGTACTAAAAATCCACCGAAAGCAAATTTCAGAAAACTTTTATTTTGTTTTTTAATTGGAATCGGCATGAATGTATGGTTCAATAAATATATATATTTTTATATACACTTACAACAGAAATCTTACATTCCATCTTCAAACTGCTGAAATAGAACTTTTTTTAATTTGTTTTTACAAGCCAAAAAAATAATCTGCCATAGCTTCTGTGTTCATGCAAATTGTACTTGTATAAGTTATAGGTTTGTTTATCATGACGTAAAAATGTTACTCTTAAGGAAGCAGTTGCTTTGCACTCTGTGCCCATATAGCAAAA